GGCCAGAAAGTTTTATTTAAAACAAAACAAAAGCAAGGATTTTTATGTGAGTTTTAGACAGAGTTTTTGGCTTTAAAAGCTTTTTTCTTAGAGCAAAAATCTACTAGCCTATGGTACCCCTCCCCATGAGTAGCTCTGTTCCTCGCTTCCATGTCTGTTTAGCAGCTCTGCATTTTTTTATTGTACAGCAAAACAATTGCCTGCAAGTGTCCATATTCCATTAATCATATGGAAAAGTATTCAGCCCTTTGTTTTCTTCTGAATGAATATATTTGGCACTTAAGTATTAATTTAGACTAGTCATGGGACATTAGTGTTGTTTAATTGTCCCCATTTTTCTGGGGTTTATTTAACCAATGGAGATTATTTCAGAAATGTGCAACTTCCTTAACTGTTACATTCATTGCTGAGTGCCCCTTGCAGAGTCTCCAGACTCACAGCAGCAGTGAGATGTTGCCATATCTTTGCCCTGCAAGATTTTGGGATTGCTGGTGCATGTCCACAGAAGGAGAGCAGGATGAGAAAAAGTCACCCCAAGTCCCTGTTCATAGCAGCCAGCACTGCTTTTGCCAGTCCCTTGCCAGGAGGTTTTCCCTTCCCAGGAGCCCAGCCCAGTTCCTCAGAGATGATGCTCCTCCTCTGCCATGGGACTATGAGAATTCTTTCTTAACACTGCATCCAGCTGTGATGCACTGAGCTCAGCACACACAAACCTCCTGTGAGCAGCAGCATCAAAGATGAGCACCTGACAGGCTCCGAGGTACTCAAACCTCCTGTGAGCAGCAGCATTAAAGATGAGCACCTGACAGGCTCCGAGGCACACACAGGGGCACAGTGGTCTGCCTCACTGAAAACCACAGGCTGAGGTTTTTTTGCCTCAGTTTTCAAAGGAAAACTACCAGGTTCATCTCCCAGACTTCGGGATAAGACTGCGGAGCTTCAGATGAGCTGTCATTCCTTTCAGAAAAATCCAAGTGGCATGAAAATTAAGCAGATCTCTTTCTCCTGGTGAAGGACTGTTAAGGAGTGACCAGCTCCTGTGAAACCACCAAAAGTCTTCTAGTGTCCCACCGACTGTGTGTCATATCTTGAATGCTGGTTTGTCTCCTTTTGCTGGCTGTGCTCCTCTGCTGCCATGTGTTACCACTGCCCCATGGTTCTGCTCTGCAGACAGCTGGAGTCAAGTAAATAGTGCAAGGATTTCTGCTCTTCAAGGGGAGTCATCCACTGTACTGGTAAAGACCTGCTCTGTAAAGCCTTCAGCAGCTGCCATGCCCCTGCATCACCATGCGGCCCTGCAGCTCTTAGATTGGATCAGGTTATGTCTCCCACACCTCAGTGTCTCCCTCTGTTAGAGAACAGTGAAGGAAAAGCCTCTCCTGGGTGGGAGAGGAAATGAATCCAGGCTCACATGGTTCGTCAGAGATGCAAATTGCTCTACAAGTCCTGAGCATTAATTATAGAGCCTGGGCTTCTCGCTGGAGCCGCGGGGAAAACAGGCCCCTGGCTCGCATTAAATTTAATGGCGTTTGGACACCCAATTCCCTTAGCCTATTTGAAAACCAGAATCCCACTTTCTCCAGAAATATATGTGGTCAGGTGAAATCCCTCATCCCTCTGCAGATGGTGAAATTTTTACAGCATTGTCTTCAGCAGTGCCTGGAGCTCTCCCCCAGCTGCTGGGGTGTTTTCCTCATGCCATCCACGAGATCCAAGAAAGGAGTGGGGAATGATATGGATAGCAGAGGTCTGGGCAGGGAAGCTCTGTGGACACACTGAGGAGCCTAAGTCTGGCACCACAGCTCTATTGCATGGGCTGGTTCACCACACCAAGAGGAAGATTGTCCGGCTGCAAGATCTGGAGCATAGGGTTGGAAAGAACCACTTGCCCTGGATGTGAGCTGGGTGTGGGGACAGAGCTGCCTTCACCCAGCACTGCCTTCACCCAGCACTGCTTCATCTGTTATCCATTGAAACCACTGCCTTTAAAGTGCAGGATCTGACAGTTCTGCTTTGCCAGGAGCAGACCTGTGAGGCTGCCTCTCACTGTGTAGTTGCAATGCCAATGCAATGGCTCGATGTGGAACTTAGGGATTAGATAAGAAATAATGCCACTGAGAAGAAAGGAGGAAAAAAATCTTTGGAGAGTTAGGAGCAGAGGATCCCTCTGGCTGAGTGAGCTGTTCCTTCTAGGCAGCTACTGGAAGCCTCGTTGTTCTGGGGCGTGCTGCACCATGGGATTGTGTTTTACTAGAATTGCAGAACTGCACAACAGTGAGACGTGATCCCTGCTTGGGAGGGCTCACAGGAGCCAGACCTGGATGAGAGTATGACTGTCCTAGTCTACAGATGGAACAGTGAGCAAGGATAGGCCTTAAGCAGAGCCATAATGAGCAGCCTGCTCTCCAACCCAGTCTCTGTGCAGAGGGCCAACATCATGTTGAAACACCAGCCGGGTCTCCAGCTGCATGCATTTTGGGGGAATTCTTGATCTTTTTCCCAGTGTTACCTCTTTGGACAGGGTGGGGTTTTCCTGTTCTGAGGGACTCCAGCATTTCTGCCCAATTTAGCACAGAGAAAATGAACAGCAAACCCTTCATATTGTTATACACATTTTAGATGTCGGCCTCACAGTTTGATCAGCAGAGGCTCCGAAGGCTCGTAAACCTGGTAATACATAGTTCCAAGACTGCATCAAAGAAGTTCACAACCCTTTTGGGAGAAGCTGTGAGTACTGATGAAAGAGGGAACTTATTGTATATGTAAGAAAACTTCTTTCATGGCTTATGTATTAAGGCAGGCTCTGTGGCCCAGGGAAGATTGGGGCTGCTTTTAATTTACATCGCCCCTCACTTATATTAAGTCTTCGTCAGAAGAAAAATTAGTCAGATGTTTTCTTAATGACATCATTTTTTTTAATCCTGTTTCATTTTTTCCAGATGAGGCGGTGGAGATTATTAGAAATGAATTGAAACTAAATCTGGAACAGAGACTTTGATTCACTTCTCCCTCCTCCCTGGTAGAAATAAATTGGTCGGCTCCGTGCTCGACCGCCTTTATTAGCAGCCTCGACAGAAACCAGCCCTGGGCTGCAACTTTCCGAGCTTGCCGCCGCCACAGCTGATGTCATGGCGAGAGGCACCGGAGAGTGACTTTGGTCACCCCATAATTTTGGTGACAGAAGGCCATGGCAACACAGGTGGGGAGGTTATGAGGTCTGTAATAGCCATGCCATCATCAGTTTGTCTTTCAGTGTCGTAAACGAAAACAGGGTCGATGCTGGTGGGTGTTCCTCTAGAGAAATTCCGTCCTCGGTCCAGTGAGTGCCTGTGTCAGTTGCTGTGCATCTGCACAAGTCCTTTATATCTGATAAGTTTTCACTGACTGGTATTTCACACCAGCAAGCCATGGAGTGTATTGCTAAAGGAAAGTACTTTGAACTATAAATATTTTAGAAGGCATTTAATTTACTACCCATCAGCAGAAAGTGTTCAAAAAGCCACAAGGTTTACTAATTTATCAGAAAGACAGAGAAACACACGGAAGATCAAACAAAGACAAACATGCTTGTTAAAATGCTGAATAAGTCTGCAAAGCTTATATTACATTTCTGTGTGGTTTTGTTGATATGCAAGTATTACAAATAAATTAAAATGCACCTGAACTGTTGATAAAGGCAGGGTGGGACTGAGATCCTGAGGTGCAGGTGGCATGTCTAAACTGCTCAGATCATCGTGTTTGTGGTTGTCTGTGCATGGAGAAAGAGATCTTGCTAATAGCATGTTTGGATAGTCCTCCCTTAGCTCAGCCCATGTCCCAGATCCCTGACCTCCAAATCCCTGTTGTCTCCTGTGCCCAGGGTGCAGACCCATGAGGTGCACATCCCTCAGCTTTTCGGGAACACCCAGACCGGGACAAACACCATCCCTTCCATGACCTATGTGTCCACAGCAGCACTGCTTCCAGCAGCCTGTGAATACAGAGAGAGCTAATACAAAGCAGATTTTGCTCTTTTGTTTTGCCTAGTGACAGCTCTGCCTCTTTTGGTATCTAGCTCGGATTTTTTGCTTCTCAGGTCAAAGTAAGTAACTTTTTCTCCTGTCCTTGCACCCTCTGTAGTTTGTCTAAGAGGCTGAAGGGTACAATAGGACACGTGTCTGGAAGTAGTCTTCAGACTTTCTCTTCTGTCCTTGCTCACCCTTCAAAAAATTGCTTAAGTGCCAAAACATGCATGTGACTGTTTTTTGTTACCTGCTGAATCCCTCAGCATTTACTGACTTCTTTCTCAGGTAGCACTTGGTCTGAGGAAGATCTGAGGGATTTAAGAGAGGTGGCCCCCAGAAAGCATGCAATAAAACCTCTCATGAACTTTTGCCCTCTGAACCATACCACCAACCTGTCAAGGAGGTTTGTGCTAGCTGTGATGGACGCAGGAGGGGAGGGCTGCTTCATCAGCACTGGCCAAGCTGTGCATGCTGGGCCAAGCAAAGCACACCTCCAGATCACTTAAATTCTTCTTGCACCATTTGCATCTTTGCATGGGCAATCCTGTCCAGAGCTCTGTCTGCATATGGCAACATTAAACATCTGGATACCCAGGGGCAGTGAGGAGCTTGCAAACCCCAGGTTTGCCTCAAGCATCTTTGGGCAGCGAGCCTCCCTGTGCAAGGAGATGAGGTGGGATCTCTAGCACAGGATGTGCTCCCTACAGCCTGTATGTGCAGGCACTGCCTAAAGCAGCTCATGCTCCTTTTCACAACAGCCTATCTGGGGTAAGCCACCTCACACAAATATATGTTTAGTGCAATACAGGTGTAGGTCCACTGGAAGCTTGGGAACTTCAGGATCTGTGTATACTAAGAGGGGAGGTTTTACCCATTATGTGCTTGAACTTCTCCCTCAATAGGCAAAGGCAGTGGGGCAGGAGACAGAAGGATGGCAGGCAGCTATGCATGCACCAGGTGGCTGTGAGTGACAATGTGTCTCTGTTTCCTTCCTAGGCCTCCTCCTCTGAGTGGCAGCCCCGTCATCTCTGACATCTCCCTCATCCGCCTGTCTCCGCACCCTGCTGGGCCTGGCGAGTCACCCTTCAGCCCACCTCACCCGTACGTGGCACCCCACATGGAGCATTACCTCCGCTCTGTCCACGGCAGCCCCACACTCTCCGTCATCTCTGCTGCCAGGGGCCTCAGCCCCGCTGATGGTAAGACACTGTGCTACTGGTACTGCAGCAATTTTGTAGCTCACCAGTACTGAAATTCCCTAAACCCCAGGGATTTACATCTGCAAAGACTCCACAGCTGCTCTCTGAAGTGGGAGAGTTGTCTCTTTTTCTTTTGGGCTTTTTTCCCCCCCTTTAACTACACATTTGTTTTGCATCATCGCACCGAGAAAGCAGAGCGTGAGAATAGCTATTACCACTGGATCATATTATAAATATTTTGCTTAAAGTACGTTCCTTTCTGCAGCACTCTTGTCTCTCTTAGGAGCTTCCCTGTTTTTGTGTCTCTACTGGGAGTTCTGCTTCCCCCAAAGCGGATCAGAGTTGCTCCAGCTGCCTGGCCTGGCTGGGACTGACAAAGGAGGCAACACCAGCTGGGTTATCCCCTGTTGACTTTATGTCTAGGGTCAGAGTGGCTCCTGAGTGAAGAAGAGGGGCTATACTTTCTTCCTTCTTGCTTCTGAGCTGCCCTGCAGCAGCAGTCAGGGAAGGCAAGGGCTTGTAGGGAGCTGGCACTGGGTGCAGGCAGAGGGGATCATGCTCTCTGAGCCCCATCAAACCCTGTACTGGGGAGCTGGGGGCAAAAACATCCAAGCAGGGAAAGGGGAAAATGTATGGCACTGCTTTCACTTGCCAAGGTGTAAGTCATGCCTTACTTCATCAGAAGAGCTTCATTACATGGTTGCAGGTGGCTGGCTCAGAGCCCAGGGAGCAGCTGGGGTTCAGGGACCCAGTCTGCGCACCCAGCAAACCCCAACGTCTCTTGGCTCCCAAGCTGCTGCAGGGACACGTAGCCCTTTGCCACTGCAAAGTGAACCAGACAGCAACAAGGCCCCCAGATTACCGTCTGGCAGCATAAAAACATCTTCTGTGGGTAAGAAAACATCACTAGAGTGATGGGGAGATGCATTCGTCTTCTTCCCTCCCCTAAAACGTCATCTGAACTCTCAGCCACCCTCCACAGAGAGGTCTGATGGCTGGTGTGCGTGTGCTCTGCCCCGTCCTCTCCTCCCAAAGCCAGTTTCATTGTTTGCTGTGGAAGAACGGCATTGTATTTTGGGTTGCTTTGCTTTTCTTTGGGTTTTTTTCTGTTGTTTAAGGCAATGGTAAATAAGTTAATGGGGCAAGCGGGTGGGGAGGCAGGTTTGAAAAATTACAGCTGGAAGAAAGTGAGTGTAATTGGCTTTGGCAGCCGAAATGGTTTTATGCTGCCAGACACTAAACCTAGCTCTATGCATTAGACCTTGGCTTTAATTTCCTCACGCTGCTATCGGGAACTGGGCTGCATTTGTCTTTGCTTCCTAATAGGCAGAGATGTTAATGCTGACAGGGTTACTGCTGCCGGCAGGCTGGGCCCTCTCCCCCCTCCCAGGGGTGCTGGCTGTGTCCGAACGGGAGGATTATTAGAAGGGGGAACGAGAGATTGTTTATAAATTTGCGGAAATGGAGGAATGCAGAGGCCCCAGCTTAGTCTCTTTTGTCCGCAGAAGCACGCCCAAGCGCACGTCATGAGAGCCCTACACGGAGCCGTGCGGCTGGGGCTGGCGGGGGGCGCGGGGGGAG